GCCGAGCCGAGCGGAGCCGAGCCGCGGAAGGCAGAGAACCAGCCGGACCGCCCCGCCCCGTTCTGGCCCCGGGGGCGTGGCCGGACGCCGAGTGGGGGCGTGGTCACTGCCGAGTGGGGGCGTGGCCAACCGCAGGGACTCGCCGCAGAGTGCCCCGCCGTGCCTGCCCCGGTGGCAGGTGGCAGGGGGCAGGAACTGCCTGCGGCGCCAGGGTGGGGCAGAAGGAAGGAAAAGCTCACCCCGGGAGGTCTGTCCTGCTAAGTTCACCCAGAGAGGATCAGAGTCCCCTGGAAGAGAAACCCTCGGCGACACCCCCCACCTCACACAGCGCTCTGGCTTCTGCAGAAAGCTCTCCAGACACCCGAATCCCACCATCCCAGAACCTAGGCTCATAAATGCCCAGAGCTCACCACTATGCTCCAGATCAAAGGACTGAGCGTAAGTTCCTGCCTAGAACAGCAGAGGCCCCTGGGTTCGAGCCTCGGGACGACAAGGAATAAGTCCGGCCCCACCAATCGGCTACTCTTCCCCCCCAACCCACCAAGCTAGGCTGGGAGGGGGGTGGAAGACAACCCTTCACCCACCCTTCCTGGACCTGCCAGGGAAAAGGCTCTGGAGGGCAGAGTGTCTGCACCAGATCATACACGGCAAAGCATCTGGCGACAGTCTCAGGAGGAGGAGGGGGAGGCAGGAGAATCAGGAGTTCAAGACCAGCCCGAGCTATCTGAGATCCTGTCTCAAAACACACAAGAACATACATACTGAAAAGAGTGTAATTTTAAAAATTAAATAAGATCATTAGTTCACAGAACCCAGCTATAGCTACCCCTTCCTCCCCCCACGCCCAAAAAAAAATAACATTTACAAAGGGAACTTGGTGCTTACTCTGTAAAGGGATTGTGTGTGCCAACACAGGGCCGCACTGACAGACAAGAGGTCTCTAGACAGACAGCCTTACATGGAGAACACAAATGTGCTGCAAGGCAGACATGGCTGTTGAGGGGTGTGGAGGACTGAGAAGTGGTTAGGTAGACACAAAACAGAGTCAGGACAAGATGGCACTACCATAGTCACTTCAGTGGGTAAGGAGAATGAGGACATACGAACCTCAATAACAGGGGGCTGGACAGCAAGGGAAGTTGGGGCAGAAACCTGGCTCACCAGAGGGGTGCATTGGGGAAAGACCGGAGAGGGCTCAAGAGGAGGGGCTGGGACTTTCTTTCTTTCTTTCTTTCTTTCTTTCTTTCTTTCTTTTTTTTCTTTTGAGACAGGGTTTCTCTCTGTAGCTTTGGAGCTTGTCCTGGTACAGAGTAGTAGACCAGGCTGGCCTGGAACTCACAGAGATCCGCCTGCCTCTTTGTCCTGAGTGCTGGGATGTTAAAAGGTATGGGATGGGCCTTTTAACCGTCTATCCCCATGCTCCCCACACTTACACAGAGTGTGACAAGCTGTTGGTAAGAGAGCACAGGGCCACTCACTCCTTGCTGTCTAACTCCTAAGATCTGTACATGGACACCGTGAGTGTTTGACAGGGCTCTCCCACACATCCTTTCTAGCTGGGCGTTGGTGGCGCACACCTTTGATCCCAGCACTGCGGAAGCAGGGGCAGGAGGATCTGTGAGTTGGAGGCCAGCCTGGTCTACAAAGTGAGTTTCAGGACAGCCAGAGGTGTCACATAAAGAAAGCCTTTCTTGAAAAACAAGCAAAAAATAAATAGAACTTCTCTCATTACTTTTCTTTAATTATTTTGTGTCTGGAGTGAGGACGGGAGGCTTATGTGACAGGGAGGGCGTCTGGTCGGAGACCGTGCTCTCCTTCCACCGTGTGGGTCTTTGGTATCTCATTCAGGCTGTCAGGCTTCACAGCAAGCTCCTTTACCCATCTCTCAGGCCCCTTTTTAGATTTTGTTGTTGTTTTGTTTTGAGACAGGGTCTCACTCTGCAGCCTGGCTGTCCTGGAACACTCTGTAGACCAGGCTGGCTGGCCTCCAATTCACAGGGATCCTCCTGCCTCTGTCTCCCAAGTGCTGGGAGCAAAAGTATACACCACCACACTTGGCCAGCACCTCAATTCTTGTTTTTGTGTTTTTTGTTTTTTGTTTTTTTTTTAATTTGTTTATTTCTTTGAGACCAGATTCTCATACCAAAATTGACCTTGAAGTCCTGATCCTCCTGCCTCTACCTCTCCCAAATTCTGGGATTACAGGTATGAGCCACCACACACAGAAAGATTTTACTGTCGGCAAATTGTTGATGACCCCCCCACACTCCTTCAGTTACACAACTCCCAAAGGGGTCGTGACCAGAAGTTTAAGGAGCCAGGCTCTGGTGTGCCTGTGAGCAAACACACCCACTCAGCTACTCTCGTTCTTGTAGCAAGAGCTGCCAATAGTCACTCATGCAGCAGGAATCCCACACACAATGCAATTTTATTCCTTTGTGCTGTATACACACTAATGCTCTAGATTTCTGGGCCTTTTTGGGGGGTGCACTGCTTTTGGTACCCCGATCTTCGAATACACACCCTTTCTGCCCCCACTCCCCAGGCTCTTTTTCCTTCCGGTGGATGGTTCCTGTATAGGGCAGGGAGGCGAGCCTGGTCTCTGTCCTCTGGTCACAACCTGACGACAAGGGAGTTGACAGTCTGGTCAGACACACGCACCCAACCTTAAGGTTTCAAGCACATCAGGGATCTTACTCACGCCACTAAATTCACTGAATCACCAAGAGGTTACTCACTGGTCCCTGGTCACACAGTCAGCCGGAGCTAGGCCTCTGTACCCCATTTTACAGATGAAAACAATGGGTCCTGGAGAGGCAAGGTGCCCCCGCAGGAGTCTGGCCTCTGGATACTCTTGGGAGGAGGAACCAGAAGTGCCAGCTGGGGGCCAAGCTGAGGTGTGCAAAGAAAGAGAAGTATCCACCACCACAGGCCAGCAGTTGATGCTCAGAGACCACACAAAGGCCCTGGCCACTGTACATGTCAGATGTGAAGGCCTGGAGAGGGGAACCTGGTAGACCTCACCCCCGCAGAAAGGCTGACTGGTGGGACGGCTGTGGAGGGCTGTGGAGGCCAGATGCTCCTGCCCACCCTGGAGACCCACAGGGAGGTCCCCGTCCAGATGTCAGCTGAGAGCCCTGGTTAGGGTGGGGTGTGTAAGGAATGTGCTGGACACTGTAGGCTTTTGGCTTTAATAAGCAGCTTCAGTTGGGCACATGTTGCACATTGAAGACTAACCTGCTGTTCCCATTCAGCACCCTGGCTGTCACAGAGGTGGTCAGCCGCTCACCCCCCATCAAGCCCCCATGGATTACCTGGTTGAGCTCAGCACCACGAAACTAATAGCTGCAATGGAGATGAGACTGCCAGCCAGAATGCAGGTGGGTATCAGGGGCAGCTCCCCTGTAGGGTGGTGAGGAGCCTGGGTTGGGCTTCTGCTAGGCCAGGGGCAAGGGAGGCATCTTAAGGCCCCTCCTTTCCTGGGCAATGGCAGGTCCAGCCATTCCCCAGCTCTGACCACCTTCCTGGACACACTGTAGCCCCTGCTCCAGGCCCGGAAGGGCCTTCTCACCTGGGGGCAGCAGGATGGGAGCACTGCTATCGGCACTGATGCCGTTTGTGGCTTCGCACTGGAACCAGCCCGACATCTGGGACAGCGGGATGGAGAAGGTGGCAGGCTCCCCATGGAGTGGCCTCTGCTGTACACGTACGTGTCCGTCATCCGCAACCAAGCGGTAGATAATGGGTGGACTGCCGGAGGATGCCAGGCAGGAAAGGTTCGCGGTGGGGCCTGAGTCCCCGTTGTACAGTGTGACGTCAGTCTGCAGCTGGGACACGGGCTCTGACAGGGAGGGAAAGAGCGCGGGTGATATGAGGATGCTTCTCAGACTCCCAGTACAGTCTCCTCTTTATATGCAAACGGACCCAGAGACTTAGCTGTGACTGCCACCTCCCCCAGGCTGCCTGCCAGGCTGTCCTCTGCACTGCTTGTCTAGGCTTCCAGGCTGCTTGTAATATATACTATACAATTTCATTTTTTTTTTTAAATTTTGACCTGGGAGGTAGTGGTGGGCACCTTTAATCCTAGTACTCGGGAGGCAAAGGCAGGAGGATCTCTCTGAGTTCAAAGCCAGCCTGATCTACAGCGTGATTTCCAGGACAGCCAGAGCTTCACAAAGAAACCCTGTCTCAAAAATAACAAATATATATATATATGGCTGTCCTGGAGCTCATTCTGTAGCCTAGGCTGGCCTCAAACTTAGAGATCCACCTGCCTCTGCCTCCTGAGTGTGAGTGCTGAGACTAAAGGCATGCGCCATCACCACCTGACATCACTGAGTAATTTTAAAAATTGTTTTGGACTAAGCTCCTGCAGGGACCAGGCTAAAAATAAAAATGGACTCACAAGAGCTAGGTTCCACATCACCAAGCTAACACTGAGCAGAGGGCAGGCAAGGCTCCCAGGCAGCCTGCTAAGTTCCTAAGTAGTGACCTGGCCAGACATGCAGCACATGCCTGAAATCCTAGCCCTCAAGAATGTGAGGCAGAAAATAATAAATAATTAAATAAGTAAATAAGGAAAGGCGGGGAGAGAGATGGCTCAGCAGCTGAGAGTGTTCACTGCTCTTGCAGAGGAACCTGGTAGACTCCCAGCACCCATGGTGGGTGGCTCACAACCACTGTAACTCCACCTCCAGGGGGTCTTATGACCCTGCCCTCCAAAAGCGCCTGTACAAACCACACACAAATAAGCAGGCTGGGCATGGTGGCACATGCCTTTAATCCCAACACTCCAGAAGCAGAGGCAGGCAGATCTCTGAGTTTGAGGCCAACCTGGTCTATCTAGTGAGTTCCCAGCACTCGGGAGGCAGAGGCAGGCGGATCTCTGTGAGTTCAAACCTGGTCTACAAGAGCTAGTTGCAGGACAGCCTCCGAAGCCACAGAGAAACCTATCTTGAAAAACAAAACAAAGCAAAGCAAAGCAAAGCAACACACACACACACACACAAAGCAGTTGGAGGCATGGGAAATTCCCATGAATTTAAGGCCAAGCTGGATTACACAGCAAATTCCAGGCCAACTTGGGCTACAATGTGAGACCTGGCCAAGTGTGATGGCCCATACCTTTAATTCTGGCACTGGGGAGGCAGAGGTATAGTTCAAGGCCAGGCTGGTCTACAGAGCAATTTTCAGGACAGTCAGGGCCACACAGAGAAACTCTGTCTCAATAAACAAAACAAAAGAAACAAAAAGAAAAAGAAAAAAGTATTTGTTGCTCCTAAAGGACTCCAGTTTGGTTCTCAGCTCTCACGTGGTGGCTCACAGCCGTGTGTAAATCCAGTTCCAGGGGCTCTGACATCCTCATCTGGCCTCCACAGCACCACACATATGTGGAGCACAGACATAGAAGCAAAACACTCAGATACATAAAGCAAAAATAAATCTTTAAGCTAGGCTGGGGATGTAGCTCAGTGATTGGGTGCTCACCTAGCCTGATACACCTGTGGCCTAGAGATTAAAGGTAAGAGCCGTGGATCAGGATGACAGTCTCATCTCTTGGTGCCAGGCAAGCTCCTTCAGGACAAGAGCCACCACTTGGAGAATGGAGGTGCTGGAGTCTTTAGCCAGATGCACGGAGCATCCCCACTGACCAGTAGCTAGCTGCCCATGCCTGGCCTCGGCCTCATCGGTGCAGTATGCAACCTCCCTTGCAGCTTTCCAAGCCAAGCCCTGTGGTGCCCTGTTGTCACCCTGCTTCACAGGCAAAGCAACTGAGGCCTAAACATTGAGAGACTTGTTCAAGATCCACAGCCAGCTCACAAGGAGATCCAGCCTTCCGCATGCTGGGCTGCAAACCCTGAATGCCCTCTTTCAGGCTCTTTGTCCTGGTGTTTTTAGGGGATAAGGATGCTGGGCTCATGGAGGAGAGCAGTACTTCCTTGTTCCTGTTAAGAGGGAGTGACAGCTGGGGTGGAAAGGGAAGAAAGACGTCTCAGGGTAGGCAGTGTGGGGGATGAAAGCAGATGTGGTCACTTGCAGGTTGTCTAAGCAATGCCCTCAACCTCCAGAGAACTTGGACTTCCACAGTGACAGTGGGGGACCTGACTGCCTCCCTGTGGGTGTGGATGAGATAATTAACAGCAATACCTTGATTACCAGCCCCATGTCAGACCTCACTGCACCTTCTGGCCCTTGCCGGGAGACTGTGTCCTCTGGTCACTGTGGACTGTGCTCAGCCTTGGAGGCAGGCAGTCTTCCCTCTGTCCACTCTGCTGCCTCCTCCTCTCTCCCCTCTAAAATCCCCATCTCAAAGTCCACCGTCTCCTCCCCAACCCCTCCAATGATCCACACCCCTCTAGCTTCACCAGCCGCACCCCTGTACTCACTGTCCCACAGCTCCAAGTACATCTGCAGCCTGCTGCTGGGCCCGTAGGTGCCCAGGTCAGAGGCTGCTTGGCAGGAGTAGGTGAGCAGGTCTGGGCTGGATTTGAGTGTGATGTTGATGTTAAAGGTGGCCGGCTTGTAGTCACGCACAACCCTTTTTGCTACCAGGACACCTCGGCTAGCCATGAGAGAGTAAGTGATGGGCCGGGGTGCCTCGGGGATGTCACAGGTTATGAGCACTCGGCGGCTTTGAGGGTAAACTGCCAGCACTTTGTAGGCAATGGTGATGTCTGTGAGGTGCATCGGTCAGGGAAAGAAAAAAACCAAGATGGGTCAAGCACTTTGAAACTCTGGTTGGACAATTCTTCAAAAAGTTAAATAGTCGGAGCTGGACAGAAGTCTCAGTGGTCAAGAGTGCTTGTAAAGATTTGGGGTTTGGGCCGGGCGTTGGTGGTGCACACCTTTAGTCCCAGCACTCAGAAGGCAGAGGCAGGCGGATATCTGTGAGTTCGGGACCAGCCTGGTCTACAAGATCGAGGTCTAGAACAGCCTCCAAAGCCACAGAGAAACCCTGTCTCGGAAAACAAAACAAAACAAAAAACAAAACAAAACAAAAAAACAAAAAACAAAACCAAAAAAAAGAAGAAGATTTGGATTTTTGTCCCAGCATATATCAGTCAACAAACAACCACCTGCAACTCCAGGACTGGGGGAAGGACATGCTCTCCTGGCTGCCAAGGGCACCTGCACAAAGTGGTTCACAAAGACCCATTCAGATACATATACACATAGCAAAAAAAAAAAAAAAAAAAAAAAAAAATGTGAAAGAAGTGTAAACCTAGGGGTTGAGTGTGTATCTCAGTGGTAGAATATAAGGCTAGCAACCATAAGACCCCCGAGTTCAGTCTCCAGCACCATAAAAAAGGCGGGAAATGTTGAAAGAATTAGTGATGATTCAGCAATTACACTCCTGGACACATCCCAACAGAATCAAAGACAGACTCAGCCAGAGCCGTCACACACATGTCAGGGCAGCTCTGGTTATGGCTACCACAGGAAACAGCTTCAAATCCTAAGAGTTGAACATGGTCTGTGCAAGGAATATGATTTGATCTTGAGGACAAATGAGGGTTTAGAGGTGTCATGTCTCAGCAGAGCCTGAGCCTGGCATGTTGAAGGCCCTCCATTTGGTTTCCACTGAGGTCAAAAGGAAGAAGTGAGCCCCACCCATTTCTTGATGCCGTAGCACCAATATAATATGACTCCATGCCTAGAAGCCAGACAGAAGGGAAACTGCTGTATAAGTACATTTTGGGGGGCTGGAGAAGTGGCTCAGTGGTTAAGAATGCTTGCTACTCAGATTCACACAGTGGTTCACAACTGCCTGTAACTCCACTCCCAGAGGGAATCCAAACCCTCTCCTGGCTTCTGTGGACACTGCATGCATGTGGTACATAGATACCGCACGCATGCGTGCGTGCGCGCACGCGCACACACATACACACACACACACACACACACACAGACACACACACACACACAGATATATATACACAGACATACACATGCAGACACACAGACACACACAGACACACAGACATACACAGACACACACACACAGACACACACACAGACACACACACAGACACACACACAGACACACACACAGACACACACACAGACACACACACAGACACACACACAGACACACACACAGACACACACACAGACACACACACAGACACACACACAGACACACACACAGACACACACACAGACACACACACAGACACACACACAGACACACACACAGACACACACACAGATACACACACACACATACACACAGAGAGACACAGACACACACACACTGACACAGACACACAGACATACACACACACCACACACCCATATACACACAGAGAGACACACACACAGACACACACATACAGACACACACACAGACACCACACACAAACAGACATACATACAGACACACAAACAGACATACATACAGACACACACACATAGACACACACACACAGAGACACACACATACATACACACACACACACACACACATAGACACAAACACACATACACACACACACCACACCACAAAGACCAGGCATGGTGTCAGCTTTTGGCAGGTAGATCTTTGTGACTTTAAGGTTAGCCTCGTGTACATAATTCCAGGACAGCCAAACTACACAGTGAAACCCTGTGTCAAAGAAGAAGGGGAGGAAGAAATAATTAACATCCCAGACTCCAGACTGGATGTGTTGCCCTTGCTCTACTGGGCCTGGAAACTGTACAGTACCATGGTCAAAAAACTTTCCATGGGGGCTGGAATGATGGCTCAGAGGTTAAAAGCAGTGACTGCTCTTCCAGAGGTACTGAGTTCAATTCCCAGCAACCACATGGTGGCTCACAACCATCCATTATAAGATCTGGTGCCCTCTTCTGGTGTGCAGATATACATGGAAGCAGTATGTTGTATAAATAATAAATAAAAATTATTAAAAAAAAAAAAAAAACTTTCCATGGCCTAAGTTAATCCCAGCACTTGGGAGGCAGAGGCAGGTGGATCTCTGTGAGTTCAAGACCAGCCTGGTCTACAGAGTGAGTTCCAGGACAGCCAGGGCTACACAGAGAAACCCTGTCTAATAAACCAGAGAGAGAGAGAGAGAGAGAGAGAGAGAGAGAGAGAGAGAGAGAGGAAAACTCCATAGAGGAAGCTCCAGGCTGTCACAAATATTTCCCGGGACTCCCCACACTTCTGACCACTGCACACACTTGCTTTCAGATCCTAGTTCCTGCTCAGGGGAACTTGTGTCTCCTGGCACTGCAGCCAGTGCGGAGGCCAGGGACCCACCCCACACTCCACAGCAGGAAGTGACCCACTGAGACAAAAGAAGCCCCTGGAGAGAGGACAAGTTCTGAAGCCACCTGCATGACACCAACAGAGCCCTTTTTTCTGTGGCTTTTTAAATTCTTTGCTAAGTACTAAGTACTCCTCTTTGTGAGGGAGATTTTATTTTGGTTTTTTTTTGTTTGTTTGTTTGTTTGTTTTTTAATCAAAATAGATTTCCAATTTGAGACACTGGGCCTAACCTTCTCTGGCAGACTTCTTTTTGTTTGTTTGTTTGTTTGAGACAGGGTTTTTCTGTGTAGCCCCAGCTGTCCTGGAACTTGCTCTGGATAGAGGGTTGGCCTTGAACTCACAGAGATCTGCCTGCTTCTGCCTCCCTAGTGCTGGGATTAAAGGCGTGCATCACTAACTCCTGGCTTTGGTCGACTTCTGTCAGCTTGATCTTTGGGGACAACAGAGATCTTAGGGTTCAAGGAAGGTGTTTGGGGCTGAACTGCATCTCACTGGGTGGGGAAAGGAGTTTAGGGCCAAATTGTGGTTACATGTTTGTTTGGTTTTCTCTTTCCTTCATGAAGAGCAACGGGCATGACTTATAAAAGTGAAAAGAAAAAGTGCCTCTCTCATTTCCATCTTGGTGGCCTGGAATAGAAGCTTGGTTTGCATACGTGGGACTGGAAGTGCTAAGAAAGCCCGGTTTGCTCCCCCAGGTGAAAATAGAAAAGATCGCTTTCCACACAGCCTGCTGCGGTGACAGCTGCTAGGTTTGTCGTTTTGTTCTGTTTTTGTTTTTTTGAGACAGGGCCTCACTATGTTGCTCTGGCTGTCCTGGAACTCACCAGGTAGACCAGGCTGGCTTGGAACTCACAGAGATCCTACTGCATCTGCCTCCCAAGTGCTGGAATTAAAGGTGTGCAGTCAGGACTGGTACCTGCCCCCCCCCCACTTTTATCTTAAAGATAGGGTTTCAATGTAGCCCAGCACCTTTGAGCCTCCTGTCCCTAACTTCCAGGAACCACCACACTCACTGGTGCTTTCCATTCTAACAGCCTAGCGTGATCTCTCACTCTCTCTGTCCCTGCAGGAGGGGTGGTGGCTCTATTCTTTCTGTACCTGGTTTTATCCTCGTGGCCTGCCACAGTGCCAGCAAACAAACATCCTCTGAGATTTATGAAGGAACAAGAAGGGATGAGTCAGCCTTCAGAAATCTCCTCAGCACTGCTGAGCGGGGGCCAGGGGCTGAGGGGACAGGAAGGCAGGACCGCCTCTGCCCAGGTACTTTCCTGAGACCCAGCCGCCAGCTCTTTTTTTAGCTATGACACTAATAACCTTTTTCTTTTGTACAGAAATGAGGAAATGGTAGTTTGGTCTGTGCCTCACGAGTCTGAGACCTCCGTCAACAGCACCCTGCACCCCCCTTAAGCAGAACAGAGGGGATGCCCAGGAACGAAGAACAGGACAGGGAGGTGACTGCCTGCCTCCACCACGAGGGGCACGGAGATGACAGAGATGACGCTGAGTGCCACGGGAGGGCCCACGAAGGAGAGGGGAGGGGTGGAGGCAAAGGGGAAGATGGAGTAGGCCAGGGGCTGTGATCTTTCCCTGCTTCTCTTCCTTCCTGGCTCTGTACCTGGACTATTGGGCAGCAAAAGAGCAGGAAGGAGAAGGTAAGGGGAGACAAAAAGAGGAAAGGGAGGAAGGGGAGACAGAAAGACGTGTGTGTGTGTGTGTGTGTGTGTGTGTGTGTGTGTGTGCACGTGTGTGTGTGTGTGTGTGTGTACACGTGTGTGTGTGTACATATGTACATTACACACACACACACACACTCTTAGAGAGAGAGAGGACACTCACTTTCAGCTGCTTCCAGAGCAAAGAATCTTAATGTCCAAGATCCCCAGATCCTTCACCCCCCTCCTCCCCTCCCGAGGGTCCTCTAGGGATAAGTGCACACTAGAATTTTCTGGCCTCCTCTGGATCCCACATCAAGCAGAGCTGTGGAGCTTGGGGCTGGGGGAAGTGTGTTCCCTATGAGGACCTGGGGTCCTGGGGCAGGAGCACAGCTGCTGAGGAGCCCTCCTCTTCACACACTCCAAGCTCCTCCTCTCTCCATGCCTCCTCAAGGCCTCACACAGCCTTGTAGGGTGGGGGCCAGAATCATCCATCCGGGTCCCTCCCACCCCCCTTTCCTCACCATTAATAATCTCTCTCCAGCCAAGGCACCCACCCTCCACAGGCATGCAGCTCTGGCCGAGGCGTTCCCAACAAGATCCTTCTCTCTGCAGTTTGGGGGCTACTCACCTTCTGTCCCTTCTGTGGGCTCCCCTGAGAAGCTGTAGGCAGCTGTAAAAGAGAAGGGTCAGGGGAGCTGGGCAGAGGAGGGAGACAGCCCAGACAGCTCCCTGCCCAGGCTGACACCTGATCAAGAGGTCTTAGGAACTGGTTAGCAGCTCTGATCATGACAGTTATTTTATTTGATCTTACTTCACACAGGGTCTCTCCTGTATTCCAGGCTGGCATTGAACTTACTATGTACCTGAAGGTGGCCTGGAACTCCTGACCTTCCTGTCTCCACTTCCCCCAGTGCTGGGATTACACACACACACACACACACACACACACACACACACACACACACACACACACACACCCTAACCATGGCATCTGCATCCATGGTCAGCCTGGTTTAAATGAAAGCTCTCACACTGGCAATTCCCATTGCAGCAAGTTAATGGGAATCAGGGAACCAGGAGGGATTGGCTCAGCAGTAAAGTGCTTGCTATGCAAGCATGAGAGCCCGAGTTTGGGTCCCCAGAGCCCACCAAAGAGGTGGGTGTGGTGCAGGCTTTAACTACGGTGTTGGGGAGCAGGGTAGAGAAAAGTGGATTTCTGGGCCTAGCTAGCCAGTCTAACTGAAACTGCAAGCTTCATGCCAGTGAGAGAGAGCCTTTGCCTCAAAAACTAAGCTAGGGAAATGACTGAAGAAGACATCAACGCCTTAATGTCTGGCTTCCATATGTATCCACATTGACAACACACACACACACCAGTGGAATTGAGGTGATGCCCTAACACGGTTGATCATGCAAGCATGCTAGTCTATGGGGCTGCTATGGACATCCTGCTCAGCACACCCCCAACACACACACATTCTCCCTCTCTCCCTCTGGTGCTTCTGCCTCCAGGTCTCTCTCAGGACTCTGTAATGCCCCATTCCCTAAGTCTACTTCCTCCAGGCCCTTTCCATGGTGTCTGCAGGAGACTCACCCAGCATGGCCACGAAGAGCAGCCAAAGGAACCTCATACTTCTGCAGGCTGTGGTGCCTCTGGCTCAGGCTGTCAAAAGCCTCCTCATCTGGCCTCGCCACCCTAAGGCCCCTGGATGCCCCTTGGGTGGCTGCCTGCATCTAGAAGATAATCTGAAGAAGGCTGTGGTTACCCAGGGGCCCCTGATACCCTGCGGGGCTAGCTCCAGGGATGTCACCTGTGGGGGAGGGAGGGAGGCTGTGCCTACTGAGTTCCAGATGGTGTTTTTAACACAGGGGCTTTCTTTATCAAGGACATTTTAAAAAGTCTGTAACAATTTATTTTTTTAGATTATTATGTTTATACATAATATACATAATATACATAAAGCCAGGTGGTGGCACATGCCTTTAGTCCCGGCACTCGGGAGGCAGAAGCAGGCGGATCTCTCTGAGTTTGAGACCAGCTTGGTCTACAAGAGCTAGTTCCAGGACAACCTCCAAAGCCACAGGGAAACCCTGTCTCGGGAAAAAAAAAAAAAAAAAGATTATTATGTATACAGTGTTGTGTCTGCATGTCTGCCTGCAGGCCAGAAGTGGGCACAAGATCTCATTACAGATGGTTGCTGGGTCCTCTGGATTATTTTTATTCTATGTACATTGGTGTTTTGCCTGCACGTACGTCTGTGTGAAGGTGTCAGATCCTCTGGAACTGGAGTCACAGACAGTTGTGAGTTGCCATGTGGGTGCTGGGAATTGAACCTGGGTCTTTTGGAAGAGCAGTTAGTGCTCCCAACTGCAAAGCCATCTCTCCAGCCTCACCAACCTTAGTAAAGAGGCTTTCTTTATTAAGGAGCCCTGGAGTGGTTACCTGCTCAGAGGTAGCAGGAGAGATGCTTAGCTTAGGCCCTGTCTATTGATCTGTACCTGACCCCACTGATCTGCTACAGCTGCTGTGTTCTCTCTCCCAGTTAGACCTCAGCGTGTATGAGGCTCTCCCTCACCTGAGAGTATGGAGCCTGTGTCTAAGGAGTCCAGAGAAAGGCAAGCTCATCCCTTAAGGACCTGGACCCAGTCTAATCTGGACAAAGGAGAGTACGTCAGGCAACCAACAGTGGTGTGGCCCCTCCAACCCTAAGGCCACACCAGAGCCAGACCCACAGGGTCTGAGGGACACAGCGCGCCAAGGAAGCAGGTGATATGGGCACTAGAACACGGTGCCCTGTGGGAGGCCTCTCATTTCTGCCCGTCCATGTGGCTGGGCTCCTCACCCCAGTCTAGGCCTGGGCCTGCAGACCAGCCTGTGGCTTTCTGGGCATGCTCAGTGACTGCTCAGCAAACACCCACGTTGGCAGTTTCTGCCCAGTGGAGGTCCCCTGCTGCCAGGTGACAGCCAGGTGTAGATGCTCCACAGAGACTGGTGGGGACTGAACTCAAGCTAGCCCTGCTCCCTGGGAGGATACACAGGCTCTAGCAAGGCCAGTCCAGCCTAGTCTCCTCTTGTCACTCTTGGGGCATCTATGGAGGCCTGGTTTTATCAGGAAGCCCTCTGAGCAGTGGCCGCACAGCCAGAGAGCAGAGGGAAAAGCCGTGGGAAGAGCCAGCAAAGGTCACCTGGACACCAGCTGTGCTCCTCAAGGTGAGGCCACCTTGAGTCAGCTCTGCCCCTGAGCACCCACAGCCTGGCCTCTCCAGGCTGGAGTCTGTACCTGACACCCACCTCTGTAAGTGGGAGCAGGGGGAACAGGGGGACGGGGAGAAAACGTTTTGACTTAGTTTCCAACAAAAGCCCTTTTCTTTGAAAATTAGTTTTTTCATTTAAAACATGTATTTATATTTTATGAGTATACATGTGTGTGCCTGAGTGCATGTATGTCCATCATGTGAGTACAGGAACCTGTGGCAGTCAGAAGGCACTGGATCCCTGGAACTGAGGTTACAGATAGTTGTGAGCCAACATGTGGGTGCTGGGAACCCAACCCAGGTCTTCTGCAAGAGCAGCCAGTGCTCTTGATGGCTGAGCCAGCTCTCCAGCCCTATCTATTTACCTTGAGACAGGGTCTCACTACTGTAGTCCCGGGCTAGCAGTGCAGACACATTCCACAGTCCCCTGGTGCCCATCATCTAGCCCTGGCACACATGGCAGAGGCACTGCCTGGGCCTCCTGCACTGTGACCATCCTCTCAGTGTCCCTACTGCCCACGCCTGGACAGTGTAGCCCACCTGCATGCACCCTGCACCTGCCGATCTCCTGCTCACGTCCCCCTTTCCCCAAAGCTGTACCAGGGAGGACTCCATCAAGCCCGTCCTTGGAAGCGCCATCTCCAGAGGGTCCCTGGCTTGTCTTCTGGCTGGCAGCAGGTCTCAAGTCCCCTTCCTCCTCTCCTACTATATCTTTTGTGCCAGGGTGCACCTTGTAGCTCGGGCCACTTGAAGAAAGAAGGCATTCCAAGAGGTGATTTTTTTTTTCAAGACATGGTTTCTCTGTTTAACTTTGGAGCCTGTCCTGGAACTCACTCTGTAGACCAGGCTGGCCTCAAACTCAGAGATCTGTCTGCTTCTGCCTCCTGAGTGCTGGGATTAAAGGTGCATGCCACCACCATTCAAGGTGACATTTTAAAGCCTATGTGGCAGCCGGAAGGTCCAGCCTCTCTGATGCCATACAAAGGCATATTTATTGTCACATAAAGTGTTTCCGCATACCAAGGTTCCTAACCTAATTTACATGTCTCACTGGAGAGCATCACACTCCCTCATGACTCCAGTCCTTTATCATGCATCATTTGCAGAACACAATAATACAGGAGCCTCAGGTGTACCAGAGATGTCTTGAGACCAAAGTCATGGAATGGCTGCAATGCCCCGTTTTCCCCAAGGATTCCTCAAGGTCACAGTACTTCTAAAAAACAGCTGTTCATTCTAATGTCTACCCCATATGGTGATTCTGCTAAATTCCCACGACACTTTTGTCTACTTTTATGCTGTTACTTTTAGGTAGTTTTTATTGCTTGTTTGTTTGTTTGAGGTAGGGTCTTACTTTGTAGGCTGTCCTGGAACTAAGACCAGGCTGAACTTGAACCCACAAAGACACCTATCTGCCTCCAGAGTGCTGATTACGGGTGTTTCCACCATGCCTGGTCATTTATTTTGGAGGGGAGAGGGGTATATTTGACACAGGTTCTACTCTGTGCCCAGCTGGCCTATAATTCACTACGGAGACCAGGCTGGTCTCAAACTTAAGGCTTTCCTGCTGCCTCTGCCTCTTGAGTGCTGGGATTTCAGGCATGTGCTACCATGCTGGACTAGTATTGTCTTTGAGACAGGGTCTTGCTGTGTAGTCTAGGCTGACCTCAACCTCATAATCTTCCTGCCTCAGCTTCCCAAGTGCTTGAATTATAAGTGCTCATGAGCCATGAGCCTGGCTGAAAATAACAACAAATAGCCAGGTGGTGATGCCCCACACTCAGGAGGCAGAGGCAGGTGACCTCGGAGTTCCTCTGAGTTTGAGGCCAGCCTGGTCTACAGAGTGATTTCCAGGACAGCCAGGACTGTTTCACAGAGAAACCCTGTCTCAAAAAACCAAACCAAACCAAACACAAAACACTGTCCCCACGCCTGGCTACCAGCTATATCCAGACCAACCACCCCAAAGCCAGTAGATCTGTTAGCGTCTGAGGTTTACAGTGTTCCTTCCAAGCTGTGGGTCCAAAGTCACTGCAGCAAGAGATGGGGTGAGAAGAAGAAACCCAGGTAGAGCTCCAGGCTGCACCCCTGCCCGCCTTTGTAGTCACCATGAGCATACCACCCTCGGGGCCACTCCTACAGGTTCTCAAAGTACAGGCCTGCACTGGCCACTGAGAGCCTGGCAGGGTGTGCATTGTCACTCCTCAGAGGCTCAGCTCACTGTCAGTTCACAGGAAGGCTGAGACACAGTGTTCAGCAGAGGTGTGGCCATGGACCCTGACCTGCTTTCCCCAAGGGACCCAGATGTCACTCAACTTTGGGCCCCACCCTGGTTTAATGTATCTTGGAGCCCACGTATCTGGTTCAAGCCCCAGCCCTGCCACTTGGGGAGCATGGCTTCACCTTTGTGCACAGGTGGGTGGAGGGTTAGCACGTGGTGCAATGTTGGGGGGCACACAAGAGCCCTTAGTCTGCAGAGGACTGCTCCAGACCAGGGCTTGCATGGAGAGAGGTATACAAACTTCTGAGACAACCCCTTCCTAAGAAATTTGAGTGATTCCAAAAAATGCATATTTATACATTGTATCCATGAGTTAATATACATACCATTGCGCACACTATAAAACACTCAATAAAACATTTGAAGGGATTTGATAAAATAAGAGAGGTAGAATTCTCCTGTTCTTCCTGCTGACCTGAGGATGAGGTCCTGGAGCCGCCTGTAGGCAGTGGTTCCTGGTACCAGGGTGAGGAGGCGGAAGGGCCAGGGGTGGGGGCACTGGAGGAAGCTGCGGCAGAGCCGCGGGTGGGGTGGGGTGTGTGTTTGGGGAGCTCGGTGCTACCGCTCTGTGCGGCTGGGGAAGTGAAATCTGGAGACGGGATCCGAGGCCCCTGGGGTTCCTGGGGTTCCGGGGCTGGAGGAGCTCAGCCTGGTGGAGGATCCTAGCCGGGGTGTCCTGGGGCCTGGCGAGCCTGGGCACGGGAATCCGGGGCAGAAGGACCGCGGACGCGAAGCTCGAGAGCGAGGGGACTCGGGCTCCGGACTCAGCTCGGGCAGCAGCCGCGACAGGTCGTCCACCAAGTGCCACTTCTCCTGGACCTGCTGCAGGAAAACCGGGGACCAGATGTTAGCTCAAGCCAGCTGCAGCCAGAAGCCACGCCCACGACGCAATCTGAGGCCTCGGCGCCACCAGGGCCTGATCTCCAGGCAGCCGGGCGCCACCTGGAAGCCCGGCCCCTTGCTTAGGTCCCCGCCCCCGACACACCCAGCCCGGACCCCGGCCACGCCCACAGCCAAGGCCACGCCTCCACCGAAGGAGGCTGCCAGTCACAGGCGCCAAGGGTTCCTCCCTAACTCCAGGTACACCGCGCACCGCCCGAGAAAGCAAGCCCTGGCTCTCCTCGGCCCGGCCCTTCAGCCACGCTGCAAACTCCCGAAGCGCCCGGCCGAAGGGCAGCCACTCACCCACACCAGCTGCTTCCGTAGCCCGTGGATGGCTCTGGCATTCGCCCGGGACTGGGAGACGCACACGGTGAGGACGAGGCTTAAGGCAGACAGACAGGACTCCAGGTCAGTCCCCTCCCGCAGCCATCCTCCTGCCTCCGCCTCCCGAGTGCGAGCATCTCAGGTGTGCAGTCTGCCGTCTCAATCGCAAAGCTCTGCGCCCAGCCTTTTGTCGGAAGATTCCCCTTCTTCCCACACCAGCCCTCACTGGTGCCCCAGCATGGCAGGGCTGCCTCTGGGGGGTGGGGGTGGCTCTCGGTGGCCATGCAGTCTTCTTCATGGCATCCTAGGAGCCCAGAGGGCCTGCGTATCCCCGCAGATCACCTCTCTTGGAGCCAGCTTCCCTGGTTCCTGCGCCCCAGGGCGCCGACTGGAGATGCCCAGGTGCACACCACCCCCGGGGAAGGAAAACAAACAAACAAACAGACGGGGTCTCTCCCTCGGTCCCGGCCCTCCAGAGTCACCTGAGCAGGATGAGGAGCGGGAAACTGAAGGCGTGGGAGCTGAGGTAACGGAGGGCGCGCTGGCCGGAAGGCGGGAGCTGGAGGGCCACCAGCTCCGGGACCACCTGCCAGGGGGCTGAGTAGTTGGCGAAGAGGCCGCAGTCCCAGGAGGAGTGGGTGCTGGAGAGGCGGGAAGCCACAGGGCTGTCAGGCTCTGGGGTAGCGGCTGCTGCTGCACCAGCCTCCCAGCCGCCCGCCCCATCACCTGCTGGTCACGTAGCCCAGAGGAACCGCGGCCAGAAGCAAGCCCAGGAGCAGCACCAGTTGGAAGAAGAAGGTGGAGCTGGAGGCTCGGAACAGCCTCGGGGACGCCCTGGAGTTCCTCAGGAGGGTGTACTGGAGGTGGGCGGGAGAGCCGGACTCACCAGGGTGTTTTGCGGACCATGGGGTCTGAGGGCCCGGGGAGGGAGGGAGAGAGGGGGGAGGGCAGAGTGAGGATGCAGCCCCCAGCTCCCCACCTTCTTGATGTAGAAGGTGAGAAAGAGGAAGACGCTGTTGAGGAGCGGCAGCAGGGGGCAGTAGAAGAGGGCCATCCAGGTGACAGTCTGCGCAGCCACGATGTCCAGCACGTTCTTGGGCACCAGGAACTCCTCCCGGTCCAGCCAGGTCCAGAACCAGCCCGAGAAGCGCTCCACTAACAGCCTGGGGTGGGGGTGGGGGTGTGTGCGAGCCACATGGTCTTCACTCTGGGCCATCACACGCTTACTCACGGGGTCAGACCCGGCTCACCACGCTTGGCAGTGGCCTCCAGCTGTGCCCAGGGGCGTCCCCACGGAGCTCACCTCCGAGGCAGGGTGACCAGGAAGGCGAAGGCCACGGTGAGCAGGGAGTTGAAGATGATTAGTTTATACAGCTCTTCACCCACCGAATTCTCCCAGCACTGGGCGCAGAGGAAAGGGACCCATCACTATCCCCGGGTTCCTCCACACTCCCCGCTCACCCATCGCTTGCCGGGGTTGGGGGTTGGGGGTGGGTTGGGTCTCAGTCAGCCATGACCTCGGGGCCTTTAGTAGAGCGGAAGACTCCCAAGCCAGGAGAGCTACAGCACATCGGGGTGTGGTGCAGGGCACCCCCTGGAGGCACGCCGTGGTATGGCAGCCCCGCCTCCTGGGGAAGGACAAGGACCAAAAGGGACGCGGCTCTGGAGTTTTGAGGTGGGGCTTTGTGGGGAAGGATGGGTTGCCACCTGGTATTCGCAGGCGTTGTAGCCGTAGGACTCGCAGCTGGTTCTGTTTCTGCCTACGCACAGCACAGTCTGACCCAGCGAGAAGGAGAACATCCCCAGGCTGGCCAGCTTCAGCACCACGCACCTGCGGGCAGGGGATGGATGCATCGGAGGAGGGTCGGGGCTAAAGCCAGGCCACGGAGTGGCTGGTGTCTGAGACCGCCTCCTTCCAGCCTGCTTCATCTCCCGCCAGTGCTTTTTAAAATGCGTTCCTCAAGGCTGACTCTACTTGGCTCACGGGAATGGATCCTGCCTCTAAACCAGTTTGGGAAATACTGTCCCAGCCAGCTGTCTTCTCTGCTGCCAGCTTGAGTCCTGCAAGGGAAAGTCCGCGCCTTCCTGGGTCCTCAGAGCCTTACTTCAGGACACACCTTCCTCCTCCTCCTCTTTTCTTTCTTTTTTAAAACTATGTAGCCCTGGCTAGCCTAGAACTTACTAGGTAAACCAGGCTAGCTTCTGAGGGCTGGTGTTAAAGGTGTGCACCACCATGCCTGGCCACCTTTCTCTCTCTCTCTCTCTCTCTCTCTCTCTCTCTGGTTTTTCAGGACTGGGTTTCTTTGAGTAACAGCTTTGACTGTCCTGGAACTAGCTCGTGTAGACCAGGCTGGCCTCAAACTCACAGAGATTCACCTGCCTCTGTCTCCCAAGTGCTGGGATTAAAGGCGTGTGTCACCACTGCCTGGCACTACTTATATTTTTAAATTTTTATTTTTTGTCTATTTATTTGAGACAGAGTCTCACTTTGTAGCCCAGGCTGTCCTGGGACTTGTTCTGTGGACCCAGTTGGCCTTAAACTCCTAGAGCTCTGCCTGTGCTCTTTTTACTTGTAAAATGCCGTGTTTTATGTCTGTGTGTAGGATGCGCCTGTGAATATAGTTGCTAGTGAAGTCCAGAGGCATCGGGTCTCCTTGGAGTCAGAGTTGCAGGCAACTGTGAGCTGCCGGGTGTGGGTGGTGGGAATGTGATTTGTGTCCTCTGGCAGAGCCTTATCTCCAGTCTTTACTTTTAAAATTTACTTTGAGACAGGGTCTTTCACTAAACCTGAAGCTCAGTGTTCCGACTGAGACTGTCCAGTAAGCTCCTGGGATCTACCATGTCCCCCCGCCCCCAATGCTGGTGTGGGGTGTGGAGCATTGCCCGGCCCTGGCCTCTTGTTTTCTAAAGCTGCATTGTTTGCAGGTTTGCTGGCCTGAGGGCTTCAGGTGTTTCTCCAGTCTCCCATCTCAACACCGGAGTGCTATGGTTGCATGCGTGTGCCACCACATCTGGCTTTCTCCATGTGTTCCCGGCGTTGAAGCCCAGGTTGTTACGCTACATGCCATGTGCTTTTCCACACTGAGCCATCTCGCCAGACCTTGACTTTGATCATTTGACGGCATCTTGCTGCGTAGCCCAGGCTAGCTTTGAGCTTGTCATCTCCCTGCCTCCTCCGCCTCTCAAGTGCTGGGGCTGGCACAGTTTGAGTTGTTTCTCATGTTTGTTTCAAAGCAAATCGGAACTGACCATGAGGGAAGCAGAGGGGAAAGAAGGCAAGACCCTGAGAAGACAGAGAGAAGTTAGTGAAGAGAAGTTAGTTAGTTAGTTAGAAGAGAGTTAGAGAAGTTAGTGTGCGCCTACAAGGCGCACAGAGGTTTCGAGGGGAACGCTCAGAGTGGGGCTTGCAGTGGAATCAGGACCAAGTGGCAGAGCTAGGGGGTCAAGAGTGACCTAGGCTAGGACTTCAGCTGTGAGAGGAAGACCTCAGGGCAACGAGTCCAGCCTCATGGTTCCCAGGAGCTGTGTCTCAAATCTCCAGACTTTGTACGTATTCACGGCTGGCTCTTGACTCCCCAAGGCCAAACAGCACCCCCCCCTCCCCATGGCTCTCTGCTTCGGGCAGGCTGATAGCTCCCTTCGGGGGAAGCCTCAGATTTGGTCCTGAGGCTGAATGTTCTAGAAGCACTGCCCACCTCCCCTTTGGTGTAGCGATGAACATGAGAGTCCCCCAGTTCAGGACCTTGACGATGCACCCCTGGTACTCACCAGATCAGGGTGAGGTTGACCTCGGTGCTGGGAGGGTAGTTCTCCAGCTGGATCACGACTGTGAAGAGTTGGGGACCAAGGAAGTTGACTAGGGCAATGACTCCAGGGGGCAGGTATTGCAGCACCAGGAAAAGGGACTCCTGTCAGGGGAGGAGGAGGGGAGGCTGAGGTTGCAAGGATGCAGCTCACCTGCAGGGCCTTGGCCTGAGCTTCTGTTTTTCTCGTCTGTAAAATGGGATCACCTATCTCCGCTCACAGTTCACACCAGAAAAGCAAGCAAACAAACCATAAAGAAAGGAATATATGGGGGCTGGAGAGATGGCTCAGAGGTTAAGAGCACTGACGCTCTTCCAGAGGTCCTGAGTTCAATTCCCAGCAACCACATGGTGGCTCACAACCATCTGTAACTCCAGTTCCAGGGGATCTGACTGACACCCTCATACAAGCACACATACAGACCAAACACAAATGCACCAATGAACATAAAATTAATTAATTAAAAAACATAGTAAATAAACAGATCTTTAAAAAAAAAAAAAAAAAAAAGGAATACACTGTCCCGAACCTCCTTGTTGTCCTGTGAGTACTTGGTGGCCCAGAAGATGGCGCTGATGGCTCCAGCCACTAGGAGTACAATGAGGACATTGGTACGTAGGTAGGCCAGCAGGTGGCAGGCCTTCTGGGCCCGGGTCTGTTGCTGAGCCAGCTCCAGGCGGCGGCCCTCTTCCAGCTCCACCTGAGGGGAGGGGGGGCTGAATCATTTTATGTGCACAGGTATACACCCACCTTTTGTCGTTGGATTTTTAAGTTTTTCTTTTGACACTCTGTGTGCGTGCGCCTGTGCGTGTGTGCGTGTGTGTGTGTGTGTGTGTGTGTGTGTGTGTGTGTGTGTGTGTGATGGTGCACACCTGGAGGTCAGAGTACAACTGGCAGGAGCTGTTTCTTTTCTCCCCTGTGTGGGATCCAGAGATAAACCTCAAGAAGGCAGGCTTCACAAGGCCCTTTACCTGAAGAGCCACCCTCGCTTGTGAACCCCTTGTTGAGACAGGGTTTTGCCTCATAATCTTGGCTGGCCCGGCACTTATACAGTTGTAGCTCAGATTAGTCTCAAACTCATGGCAGTCCCCCTGCCTCAGCCTCTGAGTACTAGGATCACAGACACGCACTTCACACCTAGACCCTTTTTTTTTTCTTTTGGTTTTTCGAGACAGGGTTTCTCTGTGGCTTTGGAGGCTGTTCTGGAACTAGCTCTTGTAGACCAGGCTGGCCTGGAACTCACAGAGATCCACCTGCCTCTGCCTCCCGAGTGCTGGGATCAAAGGTCTGTGCCACCAACGCCCAGGACCTAGACACATATATTTATTTTGTGACAGGGTCTCATTATGTGGCCCTGGCTGACCTGGAGCTTGCTACGTTGTAGTTCAGGGGGACCTTGAACTCACAGTGATCCACCTGCCTCCACCTCCCAAGTGCAGGGATTAAAGATGCTTGCCACCAGGCCTGGCTCACACATTCTTACAACGTTTGCATGTTCTCATACACAGCTGGTTCACACTGTCATCTGGTTCATCCTGTTCACACTCACACAGCCCCCCACCCTCCACTTTCCTCAAGACACAGACAGACAGACAGACAGGCAGGCAGACAGGCAGGCAGACAGGCAGGCAGGCAGGCAGACACACACACACACACACACACACACACACACACACTCACACAGCCCCCCACCCTCCACTTTCCTCATGACACAGACAGACAGGCAGGCAGGCAGGCAGGCAGACAGGCACACACACACACACACACACACACACACACACACACACACACTCTGCCTCCCACACACCTTCAGTTCATTGCTGATTTCGTGTTTCTTGATAGTGGCAGCTTCCCACACCCGGATGCAGAAGTCCCAGGAGGAGAAGACTTTGGCACTAAGGGGCGCCCTGTAGCCCTGGCCCAGGAGTGGCTGGTGTGGCAGCGCCTCTACCATCCTGGGGGAAAGGAGAAGGATTGCTGTGGGGGTTCCTCCACTCTCCACCCTTGGCAGTGGCTTGGCTTGGATTCTGGCCTCAGAAAGTTGGGGCGGGACCCCCTGTTCCTGGGTAACCGCCTCACGGTACAGGAGGCAGGCCGGGGGTCTGGGTGAGCCTCATTGCACAGGGATCTATGTGGCAACTGGTGAAGGACGGCCAAGGATGGAGGCCTGTAGGTGACTCGGAGTCTTCCCTCACCTCCGCAGTGCCCCACAGAAGCAGAGGAGCAGGCAAGCCATTGGGCTGAGGAGGTAGGCCAGGCGGATGCTGTATGCCGAGCGGCGCTCTGGCCCTGCCCGGTAGGCACCATAGAAGAGGTAGGTGTTGTTGAAGGCCTGGAGACATAGCAAGGACATGTGAATGCAGGGCCCTGTCATAAGTGCTTGTCCTGCAAGGACGGACGAGACCTCCCTCTGTATCCCAAGCTGGCCTTCATCTTGTGATCCTCCCGCCTCAGCCTCCAGAGTGTTGGCACCACTGTGCCTGACATAAAATAGCCCTGTCTCACAGACACTCCAAAAAGTTAGGGGACTTGCCCAAGGTCATAAGGATATGCATCCAGGACTTACGATACTGGCTCAGCGGCCTCGAGGAATTGGAGTGTGTGTGTGTGTGTGTGTGTGTGTGTGTGTGTGTGTGTGTGTGTGTGTGCGTATCTGAGAGGCCTGCACACTTTCCCCATTTGTCTCTTGCTCCAGGCTGGGTTCTATGGCTCATGGACACATGTCCCTATGTCCTTATATCTAGCCTGACTGGCCTGTGTGAGACTTTCCCTTAAAAGACAAAATGTCAGTCAGGAGGTGGTGGCGCACACCTTTAATCCCAGCACTCAGGAGGCAGAGGCAGGTGGCTCTCTGTGAGTTCGAGGCCAGCCTGGTCTACAAGTAAGTTCCAGGACAGCCTCCAAAGCTACACAGAGAAACCCTGTCTTGAAAAACAAACAAAACAAAAGCCAAAATGTCTCTTGAGGAGCAGGGGTCCTTTCAGACTGGAGTTGCCCAGATGCCCCAGAGCATAGCCACATATCCCAAAGAGACCTCACTTACCCTGCCAGTCAGAATATTCCAAAGCGGGTTGTGGAACCTTGGAATGCCACTCTGGGGCAGGTGGCTGCCGGAGCACTGGAGGCCTGTGGAGTAGAAAGAGAGGACCAACCAGGCAGGGTCCCCAAGACACGCGTGACATTCAATCTTCCAACTCCTTTGCATCTACCCTAACCCTGAGGCTGTCAGAGTCCAAGGCTAGCCCTTGCAGCATGCCCAGGCTGAGGGGCACAGGGTCAGGGCAATTCCAGCACTCACTTAGTTTCAGGGCAGGGCCTGGCTCGGGGTGGTGGAGCCAGACCAGGGGCAAGAGGACAAAGCTGGCCGTCATCAGTAGCGTCAGCAGGTTGAGCAGCAGCAGGAAGCGAAGGAAAGTAAAGTAGGACTGGATCCCGGTCCCGAAGAGGCCTATGGGAAAAGTGGGGAGGCTCAGGCGCCCAGGCTGGGAATGGCGGGGCTGTGTGGCGTGTGTGAGTGGGGACCAGCGCGCGTCAACATCGGAGCTTCACGTGCAGGATCTCCAAGAGCCCTCGGAGGGCTGTCACACACCAAGGGGAGGTGCATGGGAGCAACCCGAGGGGTGTATAAGGATGGAGGGGCGCACTAGGGAGGTGGGAAGAGAGGGTCGGCATGGGATCCTACCCCCAATCTCGTAGAGCGCTCCCTCCCAGAGCCCGAAGCCGCGGGCCAGCTTCTGGGCTGCTTCCCTCAGGTGCTGTAGAGCCACCTTCTCTCTGCGATGCCACCGCTGCCAGAAGGAGGGCCTGGCCCCCTCGGGCTCCCTCAGTTCCCTGCAGGAGCGTGGTGAAGGGGGCGCCCTTGAGTCGTCCCTCCGACAGGTGCATCCTCGGCGGGCGCTGCCCCCGCCCCCCCCCCCCCCCCCCGCGCCTCCCCCGGGGGGGGAGCCGCACCTGCTGGGTGAAGCGCTTGTCGGCCATGGAGTAGGGCAGCATCCGCAGCGGCTCCCGCGAGGCGCACAGCCGCTCCACTTCTTCCTCCCACAGCTCCTCCGCGGCCGCCCGGGGGCCCGGGCCTGGCTGCACCGACCACTGCCGAGACATCCCGGTGGGCGCGCGGGACGGACGAGCGCGATCCTTGCTCTCAGCAGGAACGAGCGGCGCCCCGGGGTGGTGAGCCTCGCCTCGGCCCTGCCAGGCCCACCGGGAAAAGAAGTCTGCTGGGGTCGCAGCCGGGGCTGTCCCGCTCTCTGCACCTCCCAGCAAGGCCTAGGCCTCCCAGCCTGCCAAATGAGGTGAAGGGCCACCAGGAAATGAGAGAGAGAGAGAGAGAGAGAAAGATAGAGAGAGAGAGAGAGAGAGAGAGAGACAGAGACACAGACAGAGAGAGAGAGACAGACAGACAGACACACACACACACAGAGACAGACAGAGAGACACACAGAGAGAGAGAGAGACAGAGAGACAGACAGAGAGAGACAGAGACACACAGAGAGAGAGAGAGAGAGAGAGAGAGAGAGAGAAAGAGAGAGAGTCAGCGAAGGCTGGCTGTCACGAACCTTAAGCTTTGGAACAACACAATCCCCACTCCTTTCCATGTGCGGGTCGCCTTTTGGGGAAGTCTCCCCTGTTCTGAACCCCGACAGCTCCCAGAACCCTGCTTCCTGCAACACCCAGCTTTGGATGTCCTAGGGCCCCATTCTGTGTGTTGTTTTGTTCAGCCTGGGTATGCTTTGGTCTTCAGGGACCCAGAATAGGAGGAGGCGTGGCTACATCCCCAACCGTGAGAAAAGGAGGAACCCCCAAACCACCCCGGAGGAAGCCATAGACTGGGTCCAACGCCTTTGCCTCAACTCTTTCCCCTCTCACCGTCCTTCCCTCCGCACAGCAGGCAGCTCGTCAAGGGGCGAGGGACCATGCTCTCCCTCGTGCGTGCGACCAGCTCTCGACCCACCAGACAGGGCCCTGAGGAGTGGGGTGGGGTCACGTGACAGGAACGGGGGGAGGGCGAGCA